CACACGCACGAGAGAACAAAACACAGCTGGAGTGCGTTTTTAAATTAACAAACGTAAAAAACCATAGATCCCGATCGGGATATTAGAAAAGCCGTATATCCCGATCGGGCTATAATTCTATAGCCCGATCGGGATATAGTGTAAAATATGTCCCGATCGAGCTATAATATCCCGATTGGGATATAATTCTATAGCCCAATCGGGATATATAGCCCGGTGGGGATATGCTTCTACACTGCCTTATGCTTAGCTGTGATAGCGACAGACCATTAACTCAGAAAGTGTAATGTATCTTATTCTAAAGTATAGCGCGAGACAGAGTACAAGTTGAATAAACTGGCATAAAAACTAGAGAAGGATACATTCGAATTAATTTTATTTTAGTCTGTATGATCTTACATGTACTTTTGCTTCTTATAAAAGAGGCTATTGATCTTACTTTCAAAAAAACTATAGAGTCGTGATCTGCATGTTGGATCCAACTGAATGATTTACTGTATAAGCAGTTTCACGGCAAAAAGCTGTGGCGGCGAAGGTGTATGTTAGAGATTGGTATCCTGATTAGAGAGAGGAGGAGAGCAGAAAGAGAAAAACAGTTTTTAATCCACTTGCTTTTTCTAGGTTATTCACCACGAGCATCTCTAAAAGAGTCGTCATCTTTTATCCCCCATACGGACGTTCGCCGATAATATTGTCCCAGCCTTCTCTAGTGTAAAGTTTTTTCTTCGAAAAATTGATAAGTAAAACAGAAAAGTCATGAAAAAATTTTTAAAATTTCCTGTATACTCACAAATCTATGCAGACTTCTTTTCACATTTACGTCCATCGTTCATATCCGGTTTTTTTGCTGCCTTCTCTCTTAAATCATGATAATACATCCTTCACAAATTACTTCTTCATTCTCTGTTTCAGCTGAACCGAGAAAAAATATGTTTTTAATTGAGTGACTAACCGATTTATTTGTTCTTTCTGCTTTACTCTTCAAAAGTTTCATTTTTCTTCTTTTTTAACCAAACGAACAAAACATAATATACGATGACCTTTTCTGTTATTATCGGTCTGTTTGATGATAGTTGGTTTTGTCACACATCAGTTTCTGAAATAAACAACAGTACTCGTGCAGTGATTACTAAAGGATTCTAAACGGAGAGAGTTACCCATGTCAAGCTTTTTTCAAAATACCACAACAAAATACCGTCGGTATACTGCACCGCTGGTAAACGTTACAATAGATTTTCTAAAGTTCATCAATTTTTCATATAAAATCAATTTTGCTCAATAAAAAAACTACTTTTAATAAGATAAAACGTAGATTTAAAATAGCGTAAAAATTCTATGGATTGATGTCTGATACAAAATTTTCAAGACAAAAATTCCCCGATCTCTAAATCTTGTCATCGTTTCTTGCTAAGAAAATTCTTTCGAAAGGATGATGTTTTTCTCAGACCATGTATCCTAATGATCGAAGAAAACTTGAAATTGAAACTGCAACAATGCTTATACATAAAATAATTAATCCATATGACTAAATAAATGAACATTTTAACAAAGTTATTTTGAAAACGAAGATGAAACAAAAAACTTGCGTATATCCTAAAATTATATGGATAATTGATTGCAGAATAAATAGCATAAAATCGTAAGAAAATAATACGAAAAAAAATTGTTAAGAAAATCTAATAATATCAACAATTTTAACGTTATATTGTTTATAACTAATACACAAACACTAACCAAAGAAAATATTGTAGCAAAGGCATTAATTATATTCTTAATCACACGATACAATTCAATAAAAGCGTTCAACCTTCAAAGCTCATTATCATTTAAACTCATTAAGCTAATTAGCATATACTGCCATAAATAATGGGGAGAACCATTAACAACTCAAGACTTTCTAAAAGTAACAGAAATCAACTAAAAGTAACAGCTGTTTATGCGTGAAAACTGGGAAGATCCATCATGTTCAGTGATGATTTTACTGGTTATGACTGGTATAACGAGTTTTATAAAACGACATTCTGAATTTAAATTAAAAACATCTTAACCGTTAGAAAATCACATGCAACGTTTCTCGCAGTATCATAACAAAATGGTTCGATTAAGCTGGTATGTGATTCGATCATATATAGAGTTTAGCCTCGATTCGTTTCTAATTGATTTCTTAATTCGTCCCTCATAAATATTTATTTTCAAGTCGTCTCTTAAAACGTTTTCCTTGATTCGTTCCTCATGTGAAAGTGTTTCAGATCTCAAAGCTTTCGAATTCACACTTTCATTCTTTTGTTATCTGTGGTCCCCTCCAGGAAATGCTGACAACTTTTTTCCAAAATGCATTCTGGGAATTTTTCAGAATATGTTGTTGACTATGCTGAGTACGACCACGATTCTGGAATTTCATAGAAGTGCTTCGTTTCTCAATAAAACATGATTTGAGGTGAGGGTGAGGGCATCAAAGAAGATACACTGAGATTGTTCTGCTTGTTAATTAACTTGAAAACAGCAAATATAAAAGGTTTATTCTTTATTTTACCTATATTTTTTTTCATTGATTTATCGTTATTTTTTAAATAGGAACGACCAGTTTAATCGTGGCAATTTAAGATTTTTCAACGTCACTTTTAGACGAAAAAATTGAAAAATACTGATCTTTCAAGGTGCTGGAAAAAAAAGTGAAATTTTCAAAGAAAAGCAAAAATTTCATGTTTGATCGCTTTTCGTCATGCTGGAACCATTTATTCTTGGTTTCCACCAAAACCGGAGTCTGGAAAGCTAATTTTGGAAATCTTAGGAACTAAATTGGACTCAGAATCTGAACACGAGCAGAATGGTAAAGTGGCTGTCAGTCAATTTTACGAACCTATGTAGTCCTACAATTTTGGAGATAATCCCGAACATTTTTCAACTCAGTTTGTAACACTAATTACGAAAATGACCTTTTTTTGTGTAGAAAAGTTGAAGTTTGATACGGGAAACAGCAACATACGAGTTCAATTTCATTGTTTTTTCACTGATTTTGAAAAAAATTAAATTTCTTGCTAACAAAACAAAATTTTTCGACAAGGATACTTGACTTTTTCTTCGCACGTATCGCGATCAGAATGAAGTAAAAGAAAGATTTTTATGCCAAAATCGTACGACTAGATAGATTCGTAAAATTGACCGTCAGCCCCTTTACCATTCTGCTCGTGTTCATATTCTGAGTCCAATTTAGCTTCTAAGATTTCCAAAATTAGCTTTCCAGACTCAGGTTTTGGTGGAAACCAAGAATAAAATAAATTGCTAATAACATGGTCCAGTATATCGCCAGGGTTTTGAAGTGTTACCGCTAATAACATATCCAAGAGCTGGATTGGAAGCTAGTGAATAATAGTTACATTCATAGTTACGACTATTGTAACTAACCGACGTACCACTGATGTAAATTGCTGAACTATTCCATGCAGTGGCACATGGAGTTGAAATTTCCCGTGTACCGTTGCATGGACTTAATATTGACCATTGTCTGCCTGAGGTTGGTACACCAGAATGTGACGAAGGATTTACATTAGAATTGTAATATGCGGCCATATAATTTATATTATTGTAACTAACGTTGTCATTACCATTGTAAGTAGCATTACTGTCCCAAATAACATAGCATGTCCCAGGTGGAAATGACGTTGCTTAAAATTAAGCAAATACAATACATAAAAAATGAACGTAAGAGTGTTTGGACATAGAAAATCTATGTGTGCTAAGCCGATTTAGTGGATCAATTAAATGCATTGATGTGATAGGAACACCTCCCGATGTTTCGCGAAATACAGATTTCAGAGAAGTGTTGGCAGTAAATTTTGGGGCATCTGTATTATCGAGGTATAGTTTTTCATCGTCTAATCGATCCATAAAATCGTATTTTTTCGATTTCTTAGCAACTAAGTATCCTTTTTCTTACACTTAATTGAACTAGCTTTTCCACCAAAAGATTCCGCGTTGAATTCTGTACAAAAAATGTGTTGAGTGTTTTATTGCAAACTCCGAAGGTGTAACGTGCTATGAGAAATTGTGAGAAGTACCAAAATGTAGAAAACATAAACGTATTTTCTCAAAGAGACGGAAATTTGTTTCAATGGTTTCACAAGCATTAAAACACGATTTCAGTAAATTTTTGTGTAGTTTCAAATATGCTTTTTCTCGTCGTGTAGAGCGAAAATCGTCTGAATGTAAATGTCATCTAGATATAAAAGATTAACTTCTCGGCAATCACGTGAAAATAGCAAAAATTGTTACCGTTATTTTGCGCGGTGGAACAAAACAAATTCTTTCAAGTCTTAGAGATTCGATCATAACGACTAATCATTTGTTTTCAAAATTAAAAGAATCAACCTGAGTGGATCAAGTTTGACTAAGTTTTATTTGTGTTACTGGAAGGCCCAAATTATTGATAAAAAATCGTCATTTTCTGAAAAATTGGCGGAAAATAATGAAACTCAGTTCTCAGTTTTAACTGAAAATTATTTCAATTATAGATAGAACATAGAGCTTTTCGAGGCACATATGGTGGCTACTTCAGCTTTCCTCTCTCACAAACTTTTAGCAGATTATACTAAAACAAAAAGATAACTACGTTTATTTTTTCTACATTTTGGTACTTCTCACAATTTCTCATAGCACTTTACACCTTTGGAGTTTGCAATAAAACACTCAGCACATTTTTTGTAGAGACTTCAACAGCGAACCTTTCGGTAAAATAGCTAGCTCAATTAAGTGTAAGGAGGAGAAGAAAATTTGAAAATACTAACAGCACAATTCTTTATGGGCCATCCGTTGTCTGTCGTCACCCCTCTCTTCATTGGCAATTCTCTTTTTCCTTTCGTTGATGAACATAAACATTTAGGTATTTATTTTACAAAAACATTGGATTAGTCAGCCCATGTTCGGTACATATTGAAAAAAATGTAATTATACACTCCATCTAGACTCTCCATCAATTTCGCGATATCCTACTAGTTATCACGATACAGATGAATACGGCGATAATGCGCACTGATTGTTTTGCAGTGTTTTAACGCAATCTCAAATCTATCGCGATATGAGCGCGAATTAACTTGATACTTTTTAAAAAAATATTAAAATACAGACAGGAAACACGTTAATTAGATTAAAATAAAGTAGGAAAACGCTAAAAAACGCAATTATTCTCATCATTTTTTAAGGATTCATTTTTATTTTTAAGTTTAAGTGTCTCTTCGTACACTTACCACGATTTATTTTTATTTTCTATTTCGACTGAAAGAATGATGAATCAATCATAGTCAAAAAATCTTTAACTGAAAGCTATTTTGAGAGTATACGTCTTTCCTTTAATTAACACGAAACAAGTCCATTAATAAACTCTCTTTTATCACTCGTTTTATTGCATTAGATTCAATCACCAACACTTCTGAGTTCCAATTGTTATTGCGTCCCTTTGGGAACCAACGGTGAGCAATTCTCGAAAAGCCTTGTCGGAAAAAGGCTTTCTTATGTCCACTCTCTCGCTTACAGATTTCTCGACTAGTCTAATCAATATACATTCCGTCATAATCATAACAGTCTTATCTATAGACCACTCTTTTTGAATCTTTATTTTTCTATCTAAGTGTTGAGTTGAGCATATGTTACAAACGGCTACTAGATTTGGACGCAAAAACCGCCTATTTCTACGGGTGTTTGATAATAGTCCGCCCAGGCAGACATTTTTTTAGACCAAACGCGCCTGTTTGCACTAAAAGCGCGTTTGAAAGAGTTTTCTTACACCTGAAACGCTTTTGGATGTGTTAATCGGTGATAAATGCGTTTAAGCGCGTTAGAATTAGACGCGTTTGGCTACTTCAAAAACTGAAGTGTCAAAATGCTGTGAAAATAAACGCATGTTGGCGCGTTCAAATGGCTAACACGTTCGAACGCGTTAATGTCTCCCAAACGCATTTGAACGCATTAGTAACCAACGCGTTTCGCATCGTAATTCGACACCTTTAACGCATCTAAACGCGTTTGGAAGCATTTCGTAGAGAGCAACACAAAAAATTTGCATCACCCTGAGAAACCTTGCGATTTTGCCCCCTTTCGTTCACTGTAATTCTTCGAATTTGATGTATTCGGATTCCCCATCGAAAACTGAGTCACAAAAAAAACAAAATACCTGTGTTTCACAATTTTGACAAGAGTCAGCACTCGACAAAATGAGCTACATTTCTCACAAACCTATTTTCTCCGTGGTTTTGAAACTTTTCTCCGATCGTCATACACCATTCAAATCAGCATTTAAAGGCGAACAAAAGTACGTATCGCTTTTTTCAAAAATTTGTTTAATTTCTGAGAAAGTACATTCATTCTGAATCAGGAGCGAAAAAAATTCATTCGACTCGGTCTTCGGCGCAAGTTCCGAATATGATATTTTTATTGCATAAAAAATGAGTCCTGATGGAGAAAATAGAGAATTACGGGTAGAATTCCGATTTTTTCGCTTTTTGGTGGGAAATCCGAATATCTCAAATTCGAAAAATTACAGTGAACGAAAGGGGGCAAAATCGCAAGGTTTCTCTGAGTCATACAAATTTTTGTTTTCTTAGTGCTCTTAATATTTCAGAATTTCTCCCCAAAAACTTGATCAAATTCGAATAAGACCTTACATATTCCATGATAAGGAGCAGGAATAAACATTTTTTTCATGTGTTTAACTACTGAGAATGATATGTTAACATATCGAAACGTTTAGTTATATTTATTAATAAATCGAAGGGAAAAATTCAAAGACTTTTAATTAAATTATTAACGTAAACAATTATAGCATTAACTATGAATTTCCTTCTTGACACCTTTTTGCACGATACCAACATAGAATAATCAATTTGTTGCATATAGTACATTGTATTTAAATACCATTAGTAATTAGTTTACAGTTCTTTGTATGTTGAATAACTCCTTTATATCTCGAACAGTTTCTTTGATTCCGGTCGGTCGGTATTTCTCCATTCCGCTATCCTCGATTCCTCTACCCCTCCATTCGGCTCTCCTCTATTCCTCCGTCCGCTATCCTCTATTTCTCGACTTATAATAATTTTTATATAGATGCATGCAGGAACTTCATTTTCTTTTCCAGCTGATTTGATTAATCCTCCAAAGACCATTAACCGCTATGTTGCAAAACATTATTCTTTTATCAACCTGTGAAAAACACACTGAGTACTTCCAGGAGTAAAAAACTTGACAAAAAAACGGTTTCAAAACCAACACTATTTTTTGTCGTTTAAACGACGAAAAAAGCGTTGAAAAAAAAAGCACGTTACTTTTACATTAAAAACATAAAAAAAACGCATTTTCAAACGTTCTAGAACGCATTTCAGCTGAAACATTTAACGCGGTTTTTGATCGTTAAGAGAGGCTTCACTAGTCAGTCGAGCATTGCTTCCAAAGATAGTGGAATGGTCAAAATTAACATATATCTTTTTTAATATTTTTGGATTCAACGATCAAAAGCGGAGTTATGAAAAAATGTTTAGTCTCTTTGGACTTAATTTGAACGAGGTATAGCATTTACAAAATGGTCGGTGTCCGAGAATCTTGAAAAAGCATCCTACCTACTATTTTCGCTATAACTTCATCATTTTTCATCCGTTCTGTTTGAGCAGCAGCCCATTCAAAAACCTGATAAAAACTAAAGAAAATAGTTGATTTAATTCTGTTCTGCTGTTGAGTTTTCGTAGAAAAAAACTGGATTTTCTGAAATTTTCCAGTTTTCAAGACACAAATAGTTTTGATCAAAAGTCAATTTTGAATCATAGAAAGATTTCTGACTAGATTCTCTTATCGTGCGCTTTATAGAGCATCTGATCCTGTACAAGATGCATTAAATAATTTGGAAAAAAAGTTTCAGAACATAGCGAAATTTGAGAAGCAAGACCGCCCGGTGGAGGTGATTTTTCCAACTTTTTCTAGTTTTTTCGAACTTTCTCAGCCTAAATCTAATTAAAAATGGAAAATAAAGTGATATTCGGAATCGGAGTAAAAAACTATATTTAATGACGTGTCTGTCAAGAGACTCGGTCAACTTTCATTTTTTGATGAAAAATTGAAAAAATGCTAAGTAAAAGAATTGAAAAAAATGTCAAAAACTGAAAGTTCACGGACGGATGAAAAATGATGAAGCTATGGCGAAAATAGTAAAGAGGATGCTTTTTCAAGATTTTCGGACACCGAACATTTTGTAAATGCTATAACTTGGTCAAATTAAGTCCAAAGAGACTAAACATTTTTTCATAACTCCACTTTTGATCGTTGAATCCAAAAATATTAAAAAAGATATATGTTAATTTTGACCATTCCACTAGAATCCTCAACGGGCTCGTAAAGCCTCTCTTAAAAAATGGAATAAAAACGCGTGAGAACAGAAAATTTTGGTAAAGCCAAAAGTAAGACTTGACCTAAATTCGACTTCGAATTTTTTTCATTTATAAACGCGTTTAGAAACGACACGTTAAAACACGTTTTTATATAAAATAAACGCGTTTCAACGGCCATTTCAACGTCGTTAGAAAACGCGTCCC